TGCAGAGTAATACACATTTCCAATGATGATTTACGCTGACAGGTAACAGCACTGCTAAAAGCCTCCATCAAACCACGTCCAACAATCCTAGATTAACAACCTGCTTGTTTTAAGAATATACAACATGTCAACTGTCTGACTGCAAAGGCAGATTATTATTCCACTTATTTTCAGAAGAATCCCCTCAAAACAAGATTAATCATCTAACATAACCTGCTTGCCTAGTTTATCATTCCCAAAACAAGACATAATTTACTTTTTAGTTAGTTGGTTAGTGGACCAATTTAATATTTCACTGCTACAATTCACTTTATCCAGTATTTACAGATTACAGTCACCTTGAAGCTTCAGCCATATTAGCATCGATCAAAGTTTTCATCCGTTAGATCAGAAGTCTGCAACCTTGGCTCTGTAGGTTTTTTTTAATCTGTGCTTCCATTAAAAAGCTAATTTAGCAGATGACCACACCTCGTCAGACCAGCATACCTATAGTCAACCTGCATGCAGAAGGCGTCATATTTGCGTTAATCCCTTTAGTTTTGTACAATTACACACTTTAAAATACCTCGACAGGTGTGTATCCCTTCATTCATCTACAAAAAACACAATTTAAGGTCAGATCGCCATACGCTTAAAAAAAAAGAAACACCAAAAAGTAAGTCGTTAAGTTGCTTTTTTGTACATGACTAAAGGGACACATGCCCATGAGTAGTTTGGGGGCATGGGATCAGAGATTGCATGAATGATTGAAAACTAAATTTGACTTTTTAAAATCTAACACCAAAAATGGCCAGAAGATGATAAAAGTGCATCTATATCTACAACTAGCATGGACCACGTTTCTTTTGATGTCCAGTTTTGCTGCTAAGCGTTCGTGGAGCACAGCGTGCAGAAGCAAGCGCCTGGTTGACCTAACTTCCTGCACCAGCTGCTAAATGGCTCGCCATCTCACCCTGTCTCCTGCAGCCATGCCCAGCGCCATTTATTTTTCAGACCTTTATCTAAGGTCGTGACATCTTCCCCGGAGTCCATGAACTGCCTTATAGGGGAGAGGGGGGTAAAGTGAGACGTTTTTTACATTTGCTCCCCTCCAAGTGAGCTAAAATGATATATCAATTAAATTTACACATTTCCCATTAATTAAGGATGTTTCCTTGTTATTGTAATTATCAGAATGTATTCAGGATGAAGGGCAGTGAAAATATGATGTTTTTAAAAAAAGTGGTCTTGTGGCTCACTTTACCCCAGCTTAGGGGTAAAATGAGACAGACCAGAGAAGTCAATGGGGTAAAGTGAACCAACTAGGGGTAAACTGATCCACTTACCTTTTCCACTCTGAAAGTACTATAACAACATATGTTGTAACAGGTTAGAATCCTGACAGATTGTCTGACAACCTCACATCCCAGAACAAATGCCAGATTAGTAAAATAACCATTGGAATTGGTCTATGAAGCAAATTTTTTCCTACAACACTTGAAAGTAATTCTAAACAAAATCAAATACAACATAATGCAATTCAAAATGTTTTATTAATATTCAAATGAGAGGTATGAATCACCTTGCTGCAACTCAACTCCTACACTACAAAATATCCCTTTTTTATATGTATATAAAAGTCTTAATATAAAAACACAGTCTCGGGGTCAGAACACAGGACCTTTAGAGCCAGCTAGAACAGCCTGGGACTCAACAGGACTAAATCCACAATCAGAGCATTCTCTACAAATACAGTAGGCCTCTACAACTACTCCACATTCCAGCCCTGAAGATTGCAGGGAAAGATGAAGAGTTGTTCTCTACGTGTGGTCCCTCCACGCCTCTTAGGTTGAGGCAGCTTCTTCACCACATCTGCTTTGGGAACATGTGCCACATCTTTTTCCTTAATAGCAAATGTGGGTCTCTCCCACACTTTTGTGTTTCCCTGAATTTTTCTAAGGAATTGGATAAGAATTTCATCATCTTCAACTTTTTCGACCATTCCAATATACCGGAGGTTCCTGTGTTTGGTTGTAAAGTTAATCATGACAAAGTCACCCCCAGACAGATCTTTGTTTCCTGGATCACTTCTTTCATCCTCAGAGCTCTCTTCTTCATTATCAAATGGGACAGGGACATCACTCTCCTCAGAGCTGCTAACTACGATTTTCCTTTTGGTTGCTTTCTTATTCGGTTTTCCCTTTTCTTTGCCATTTTAATTTTTATAGTTTTTTTTCTTTTGTCTTTCTTTATAAGCATCTTCAATTGCCTGCTTCTCAGTTATGATGGCTGTCTTCACACGCTTTCGTTTGGTTTGTGTTCTGGGTGGACATTTGGGAAGTGGTAGTATTTCACGAGGAGACACATATCCAGTTCGGCTGGGAACACGTGGCACATCTGAATCAGCGGGCGAGGCACATCCATGTGGACCATGCACAGTGGAATGATAAGCATCAGCGGGTAAATTATCTGCAGCTGGTGGTTCGTCTGCAGGTGGATCATCTGCAGGGGGTGGACTATCAAGATCATCTGCAGGGGGTGGACCATCCAGATCATCTGCATTGGCAGGCTGCAGCTCAGGATTTGGCAGGTGTGACACCATGGATGGTGCAAACGCTTCATCAGGGAAAATGTCTTGGTTATATGGAAAAATCCCAGTGGACCTAAATCCAGAAGTGATGTTGCGTGGTGTCACTGCTGACATGAAAGCTTCATTCACAAGTCCTGCAGTCTGGTAGATAGAGACTGTTTTGTCTGGGTTAGACCTCATCCACTCATCAAGAGCATGGCTGTATTGGGTCTTGAACGGACCATACACGGTCACGTCGAGAGGCTGCATGCGATGGGATGTGTGGGGTGGGAGAGTGAGCAGAACAATTCCGTTGCTCTTGGACATTTCTATTGCCTTAAGTGAGATGTGAGCTTTTAGATTACCCAGGATTAGCAGCATGGGACGATCAGGGGTGCAGTTAGTGTGCTGTATCAGGTGATCAAGGAACGCAGGCCAGATGTCTTCATTCATCCATCCCGTTCTGGTGGCGGTACCTTTGGCTCCTGGAGGTGCTCCTGTCATGAAGCAATCCTTAAACTTGACTCTGGGGAAGACAAACATGGGAGGTATGGCATTCCCAGCATTCTTTATGAATCTTAAAAGGCTTGACTTGTCAATATTTCTGTCCCTTTGGAGCTGCTCTTAGAGACTTCTTTCCTTCCTTGACCTAAGCGGCTGTGCTCTCCATCTCCTCGAGGGGTGTTTTGCCCCAGGTTGTCTTCCTGGTGTAATTCCTTGGCATGATGGCTTTTCTACAATGTTTATGACATTTGAAATAAAAATGTACCATTACATATTAATTAATATGTAATTAATAGTAATATTACATTACATATGCAATGTAATAGTACATTAAATATGTTTACAACTAAACTTCACCCGTGCCTCATGGTGGGGGTAAAGTAAGACACTGTATCACTTTACCCCACAGCATTTGTCTCAATTTACCCCACCTCCACCATTTTTGAAAAAATTACCTTTCTTAGCAATTCAGGCTAACCTTCAGCTAGCATCATCACATGGTTTTATATGTTGGTAGTTCATCAACAGGTATGATATAAGTTTTTCTACTTGAATCAGTTTGCTTTGGCACAACAGTTGATTAAGTTGACAGCAAGAAAATTTACTTTTATATGCAAAAAAAACATTTTGTTGGAAAAAACATGCTTACCTCAGCAAAATGAGCTTCTCTCCTTTATGGCAAATGGGAAATGGGAGGAGCTTGGAATCAAAATGGTCACATGGGCATAAATGTGTTCTGTTGCCTAGATACACGTTGTCTCACATTACCCGGTGTCTCACTTTACCTCACTCTCCCCTACCAACTTCATGGAATTTCTGTTCTCTCCATCGTCCTTCTCTCCAAACATAGGTTTATTTTATTTATTTTTAACACACCTCTCCGTTGAATGAAGCCGTAAACGGAGCAAGGTGACTCTCCGTGTAGAACTTCAGCACTGAACAACAATCTATCTGGCGACTTGAGCAAGAAGCGAGAGGAGCTTTCCTAAGACCCGCCCCCTTCTTCTTCTGATTGGCTAATACTGTTAGTTTCAGAGCGCTCCTTTGCTACCATTGGCTGACAAACGCAAGAGGGATTTTGATTGTCTTTTTGAATTTATTTACCATCAATTTATTTTCGAGTGATTTTCTTTTTACCAATGGGCAATCGCTATGAGCCGGAAATCCGACCTGGGGCCGGAATACTGTAATCCCTGTTTAAGTTAATTTTTTGTACAAAACTAAAGTGATAAACTAAAGAGATAAGCTAAAGGGATAAAGGGGCATGCTGCCCCAATGGGGGCATGCTGCTCTGACAGAACAGCAGCACTGTTCAGTGCAGTAGGTGTGTGTGTGGGGGGGGGGGGCTCCCCAGGGCGCCATTCATGCAGGAACCGCTACTGTAAATCAGAAACCACAAATGTTGCAGAAACACTTCATCAATACAACAGATCTACGTTAAACACATGTGTTTTTATTTCAGAGTTTTCTCTCATATTAACCTTAAAGAAAGCTGCTTCCACAGAGGAGCTTCCAACTAGCATAACTTTGCTCTCTAAGCTAACTTCTCTGGGATGCTTTTAATGACGTGGGGAATTACAGCTTCACCTACAACGTGAGCACCGTTACTCTCTTTATCCGCACAGAAAAAGGAAGTGAGAGGATAAAAACACAAAAATTTAAAGGCGACCATTTTTATGCTAAAAATCGCCCATCAGCTCGAGGATAGCCGCCCTGTGTCTTGGCGCAGCGCCGATTGGAAAGTAAAAGTTTCCGTGTAGCACCTGAACGCAGCACTAACCAGCACCCATCCACGGCCGCTGGGATGCACGCTGAGAGCCCAAATCACCGTCATTTCACTGCTGCAAACACCGACACGCGAGGGGGGGTTCGCCTCCCCGCGAGAAACAGCGCGTGCTCACGGCCACGAGTGGGTAGAGCAGAGTTATTATATTTGAGCTGAACTCACCGTTAGTTGAATGTTTTCTGACAGCTTTGTTAGGAAGTCCCCGGAGCGTCGCTGTCACTGCTGTGGTTCCGCCCACCCCAAAGCCTGCGCTCTCTCTGCAGGCCGTACACGCACTCAGCCCCTCCCCGGAAACGCTCACACAGCCAATCACAGACCTCGCTCGCTGATTTGCACCGGTTTCATCCAATCAGATGCTTCTGTTGTCCTGACTGACCATGCCGCTGTCCAGAGGCAGCTCCTCAGCCATGAGTCACTTCTTCCTTTTTGTTGGATGTACTTTTGACAGACACTCTCCGCACACAATGGAGAACTTTGATTCCTTTTACGGCACCGATTCGGTCCAATAGCCGAGAGGAACGACTTTAGGGCCGAGGAACACGTCCTAAAACCCGCCCTGACGTAGGAATGTCAACCGGGTTGAAGGGAATTAACATCCAGGGCTAAAACACAGCGACAGTCTGGTACAACATGGCAGACTAATATAAACACAAAGATTTATTGAAAAATACTGAATTAAAACAGCGCTGTTCGCTGTTTTATCATGTGAATAAAAACACAAATCCGAATTTCAAGTGAAAAGGATAATTATTTACACTGCTAGCTTTGAAATGCTTATAGAATAACAGGAAAAAACACATTAAAAGTTTCAGAATATTCATCAGATTGGTTTTAAACCAGTGTTATACTGACATCTAGTGGTGGGACATGTAAAAAGCACAGCCCAGTGTCCCAGGATGAGACAGCATAACACACATCTAGCTCAAAATGTCAACCAGCCAGTGGCGGCTGGTGAAAAATATTTTTGGTGGGGCTGATATAGCCTAGTGTATGTCTCCAACTAACCCGGAATAAGAATTCAAATAAACAATTGGACAATACATACAATTTAACAGTAATGATTTAATTTACTATATAATAACAGTAACAGTGATGATTTGGGTCACTGTGACGGGGTTCTTTGGCCTCCAAGAATCCAGTCTCAGTCGGGTTACCGGTGTTGGTGATTTATTGAGCTCAAAAACTCAAAACAGGGTGGAAAAGAAACTAAACATATACAAGATCCTCTGGGCCTCAGCCTCCCTCCAGTTACCAGCAATGGAACAAAGAAACAGAAAACAAAAATTGCCGCTTTTCTTCCCACAGCCCTCATTAAATAGTTTAAGCCCCTCACCTCAGGCTCTCTTATTTCTGATTTCTTCTCATTAATCAGTTTTGTCCATATATTACCTCCACAAACAATTGATGTACAAAAACAAATAATTTTTACAACTTAATTCTTTTACACAGATTCATTGACTTATTCAATTACACCAAACTGGGTTTGAACCCAGCAAAGACGCAGCCAGACTGAAGATGACAAGTCCCCGCATAAACACGTACACACCCACACCCCCCACATACCCACACACACACACACACACACACACACACACACACACACACACACGGCTAACCCCACTGAAATATTAAGTGTGCATCCTCAATACGCCAGCAGGTAACCAGGAACAGCTTGTGTGTTTTAAGTTAATAGAGCTACTGGGCTCAGCGCGAGTGTATTGGTCCTCACAAACACAGTATAACAGGAATGTGTGTGTGGCGCGCAAAGTTAGAGAGGTTGTTTTAAGCGACGAGGTGGATTCGTCACAGTCACAATAACCATGAAATGAAATGTTCATATCATACAACAGGGATGTTCTTCTGGCAAACGGGTAGATAAATAAGGATCTCACCGAATTTGGTGGAAGCTGCATCTCGCTCGTTACATTCGCCATCTTCCCTCTAATTGTCTGCACCTGCGCTTGGGTTCAGAAGAGAAGCCTGTAAAAGCGCAGTATTTTCAGCGCCCCAATACCATAAAGTTCCGAGACGCTGATTGGCCATTAAATTCACCTAGCAATAGTACATGATTGACAGATTCTCTGCAAATGTGGGTCAGTCTGATCACAGCCCCCAGAACAGAGACGGTAGGAGTCTGTCTGTGGAAATCCACAAATTAATGACAGTAGATAGGGAAATGTAGTTTATATAATTTGTTTTGCTTATAGTTACACAGTCTAGAGAGTAAAACAGACATTTATGAGTTAATTTCTAAAAATATATTTTACGTTTCTCTCTTCTTATCAGGGAGGGCGGTGCCCCAGCGCCCCCTATGGGCCGGCCGCCACTGCAACCAGCCACCTCAATGGAGCTGCATAGCTGAGGAAAAACTTTAAGAAACAACTTTATAATTAAGTAGAAACAGGGGAATATGAGTCAGAGTCACAACTGGTTGCTTTTCCTCCAATAACTGAAGTTTTAATTCACATCAAAAGGAATTTGTAACAGAACTAAAACCTTTTAACAGCACTTTATATAAACACGAAACTACATCTTTTTTAGTTCTTTTATACGAGTTTATGACGCAACTTTATTAACATTATAAAAGTGTCCACTTATTTAGTTAAATAGTTCTTCATCTTGTTAGGATAATTCTCATTGAAGATGTGTGAGTTTATTAGACCCTGGTATTAGCTGCCTGTTGCGCGTCAGAACTGATGTTTTAATCTAATTAAGACAATTCCTCTGTCTGGATATACAGTTATAATCTTCATTCTGTATGTGGCCAAGATTTGGGAATTTAATGAGAGCGGCGTCCTTCAGCTAAGAACAAAGTAATATTTTGATAAGGCTGCAGCCATGGATGTCTAATCGTCTGCTAATGTGTTTGATGTAAAATAAGATGATGTGGCAGATATGAGATGTATAAAATGCATTTAACTATTAATCGTGGCCTCTTCCTGAGAGGTGAGCAGCTGCCTTCTGTCCATTCTAAGCAATTTCTCTGATCTGAGTAAGATTACAATTTCTATCTAATTCTGTTGTCATGTCTCCTGGTTATTTAATACCTGCAAGTTATGAAGTGTTATTTAAAGAGTTTGTGCCGAGTGCATCGCAGGAGAAAGAACCAGAGAGATAGAGCATCAGGGTGCATACACAGAGAGCATACACTCACCTGCCACTTTATTAGGTACACATGTCCAACTGCTCGTTAACACTTAATTTCTAAGCAGCCAATCACATGGCAGTAACTCAGTGCATTTAGGCATGTAGACATGGTCAAGACAATCTCCTGCAGTTCAAAGCGAGCATCAGTATGGGGAAGAAAGGTGATTTGAGTGACTTTGAACGTGGCATGATTGTTGGTGCCAGAAGCGCTGGTCTGAGTATTTCAGAAACTGCTGATCTACTGGGATTTTCACGCACAACCATCTCTAGGGTTTACAGAGAATGGTCCGAAAAAGAAAAAACATCCAGTGAGCGGCAGTTCTGTGGGCGGAAATGCCTTGTTGATGCCAGAGGTCAGAGGAGAATGGCCAGACTGGTTGGAGCTGATAGAAGGGCAACAGTTACTCAAATAACCACCCGTTACAACCAAGGTGGGCAGAAGAGCATCTCTGAACGCACAGTACGTCGAACTTTGAGGCAGATGGGCTGCAGCAGCAGAAGACCACACCGGGTGCCACTCCTTTCAGCTAAGAACAGGAAACTGAGGCTACAATTTGCACAAGCTCATCGAAATTGGACAATAGAAGATTGGAAAAACGTTGCCTGGTCTGACGAGTCTCGATTTCTGCTGCGACATTCGGATGGTAGGGTCAGAATTTGCCGTCTACAACATAAAAGCATGGATCCATCCTGCCTTGTATCAACGGTTCAGGCTGGTGGTGGTGGTGTCATGGTGTGGGGAATATTTTCTTGGCACTCTTTGGGCCCCTTGGTACCAATTGAGCATCGTTGCAACGCCACAGCCTACCTGAGTATTGTTGCTGACCATGTCCATCCCTTTATGACCACAATGTACCCAACTTCTGATGGCTACTTTCAGCAGGATAATGCGCCATGTCATAAAGCTGGAATCATCTCAGACTGGTTTCTTGAACATGACAATGAGTTCACTGTTCTCAAATGGCCTCCACAGTCACCAGATCTCAATCCAATAGAGCATCTTTGGGATGTGGTGGAACGGGAGATTCGCATCATGGATGTGCAGCCGACAAATCTGCGGCAACTGTGGGATGCCATCATGTCAATATGGACCAGACTCCCTGAGGAATGCTTCCAGCACCTTGTTGAATCTATGCCACGAAGAATTGAGGCAGTTCTGAAGACAAAAGTGGGTCAAACCCGTTACTAGCATGGGGTACCTAATAAAGTGGCCGGTGAGTGTATATTCAACAAACTCAATGTCTATTGAATTGTGAAGTTTTGATTGCAACTAAAAAAAATACAAAAAAAGGGGTTTTTTTGTATTATTGCTGCAGGGCCTCTAAAGGTGGTGGAGGTATTCCTCATACTGGTTCTGTCTCAGGGAATCTGGTGAACCTAGCAGACTCCATGAAGTAGAAGCTTTTCTGGCAAAATATACACATTTTTTGTAATCTGGCACTTCAGTTTTCCCCACATACCTCATAGCCTTTTTTACATTCACTTCAAGACCTAGTCCACATTTTTTTTTCTGTTTTTTTTTGTCATCACACTGTCACAAGTACAGAGCAACGAAATTAACTCTGCATTTAACTAATCCCCTTGGGGAGCAGTTGTCTGCACTGGAAAAAATCCAAATCTAGATAAGTCATTTTTTTTTATAAAATAAGTGTATTTGTTCTTGGATTGAGGAGGTAAAAGAGACATTTTGCCAATGGAACAAGACGATATACACTTAAAATAAGAAAACAAAACTGCATTCTCTCATTTCAAGTGCATTTTATCTAATTATCTTATTTTAAGAGTAAAAACACTCATTCCATTGGCAAATTATCTCATTTACGTACTGAAATTAGGAGTAAATACACATAATTTTTACTTATTTTTAGATCGTTTTTCCAGTGTGCCATCTTGTGGTGCTAGGGGAGCATTGTGGGGTTAAGGGTCTTGCTCAGGCACCCAGAGTGGCAGTCTGTGGGAGTGGGGCTCGAACTCAGAACCTCAGGATTCCAAACTCTATAGCTTAAACACTAGCCCACCACTCCCCCATGAAGATTAACGTGGTATATTTTCAAAGATGTCCCATAAAAAAAGTTGTGTCCACAGCACAAGTGAAGATGTGATGCTACACATGCCGAGCCTTTTGTTGGCGCTGTAGCACTGCCACAGAATCACACCCAAACC